TGGATGGCCAAGGTGCTCCCTGGTGTCTGTGCAACCCTCCTGGCACAGCCAGAGTGGGATTCAGCTCTCCCAGCCTTGTCATGGGGATTAAGGAGGACTGGGAAAACTGCCTGGATTAACGGGGTGGGTCTGCAGAAGGTGAAGGTGCCACAACCAGGGGGTGATCTGGGGACAGGTGAGCTCCTTCCCACTTGAAAAATCCCATTTTCCTCCAGCCCTGCCCCGAGCTGAGCCCCACAGCTCCTGTCCCCAGGGGCAGCCCCCATGTCCCCTCCTGCCACAGCCTCCCCAGGGACTGTCACAGGTTCGATTTCCTGCTGAAACCCAAATCCTTGCAGGCAGCACTTTGGGATGAGCAGGAGCAGGATCCCACCCCCAGCTCATGGATGTGATTTGCTGCTGCAAAGGGAACTTTTGGGGCCGATCGATGAACGAGAGAGTGTTTAATTAAGAGGGAGCCCTAAAACTCATTGCATTGATCAGCTGCAGGTTTATCTTAATTAGCAGTGGAGTGTCTGGATCCCGGCCCGGCCCCCACAGGAGCTGCAATGGGAGCTGGGAGGGGAGAGCGGGGTCTTAATGAGGGTGGGGGTGCAATTAGCAGGGGGAACCCCCCTCCCAGGAGGATGGCAGCCTGGGGGGGATGCTCTGAGCTCCACAAGGCCCTTAGGTTTGGGGGAATTGGATGCTGCTGATCCCCAGTTTGCTGGGAAGTGCCCTGAGATGCCTCTTGCTGTGTTTGGGGTGACACTGAACCCCAGAGCCAGGCCCTCTGTCACCAAACGACTGGTGGTGGCTGCACACAGAGCTGGGGTGTCTTGAAGTTCCCTTGGGGACATTTCATCCCCAAAAGATCAGTGAGGATGCTCCAGGCGCTGGACCAGCCCAGGGAGCTCAGCTTGGAGCAAGGCAGGAGCATCACTGAGCTGAGGGTTCTCTCTCCCTCCCGTGCAGGGATCACCAGACCTGGGCCCCTCTCCCTGGAGGCTGTGCCTCAGTTTTCCCACTCAGGAAGCAGCTCCTGAGCTGCAGGGATGCCCTGGGGATGCCCTGGGGATGTCCTTGGGATGCCCTGGGCTGTGGCAGGAGGTGAGAGCCGGGGAGCTGCAACCTCGCTGCCTCTGTGCTCTGTCTTCCCGTGGAGGGAATAAGCTGGAATAACACCCCCACAGAGCACTGTGTGACCTGCCAGGGGGGTCCAGCAGAGTTTTCAGTGCAATCAGCAGCCCCTGCTCATCCATGGGGAAAAACATGGGGTTTGCCTCTAACTTCGCTTCTCCTTGGAGTGAGGAAGGATTTAGTTCTGCCAGGCTCTTCCCAGCTCCTTCTCCTTCAGGCTGGCCTGGCCTGACAGCCTGGAATTAAGGAGCTGCACGGGCACAAACTCATCACTCCAGCTCCATGGAATGCTCCCAGAGGCTCTTCCCAGCCCCATCCCTCAGCTTGGAGCACCTCCCGTACCCAAAGGTCCCCTCCAGCTCCCGCTAAGCAGCTCTGTCAGCAGCCCCCAGATCGATGGGTGGCTGCGAAGCCCCGAGCGCGGCTCTCCCTGCGTCATTTATTATTTACATTCCTCAATTTAAAAGATTTACAGCCCGGCTGTGAGTATTTCCAGAGGCTGTTTCCTCGCAGAGTTTAAACAGCGTGGAAGTGAATTAAGCCTCAGTGCAAACAGCCTTGTCCCAGCTCCACAGATCCAGGGGCTCCCTGGGTTCTGCTGCTCCACGGCTTCGTGTCCCCTTTAATTGAAACCAGGGAGATCCTATCCCAGGGATGGGGTTGGGAATGGGATACCACGATCCCGGGCTGGAGCTGGGCTAAAATAGGTGTTAAATAGAGCCCTCACAAAGCCAATTCAATGGGCACGTGGTGCTTTATGGGTGGGGAGACTGAAGTGGTTGCACATCCAGAGACCACAGGGGGACATCCCAAAGTGGGAAAAGAAGCATCAGGGGGGGTTGGAGTTGTTGATTTCCCTGTGCTTCAAGTACCAAGGAAGTGGGTTCTGTGCGTTTCATGCTTTAATAGTTGCAATTAATGTTTATAAAGAGCCTGTCATTTGCATTTTCAGCACTTTAAAGACGTTTGGAGCACATGGTCTGTCCTCATGGAACACTCAGGGAAGCACTTTTGCCACCTCATTTATTGCCCCCTGTTATTAGGACACATGGAGTCGGGCTGGGCAGGAGGGATGATGCCTGGGAACCCCCACAGGAGCTCCAGGGAGCACCGGGATGGGGCTTCCCTACACCCAGGTCACTGCTGGGGAATGGAGGGGGGATGTAAAGCCCGTTTTCTCCGGCAGCTTTGAGGATAAACTGTCCCCCTTTCTCAGGGTGGATGAGCTGTGTGGCACCAGGAGGGGACACTGAGGCACAGGGGGTGGGGAGGGCTCAGGGCCCTGGGGCTCACAGGGGTTGTTGTTGTTATTATTATTATTATTATTAATAATAATAATAA